TTCATTCAAGTGTTGATAATCGCTCAGTTATCGGGCAAGAGAAAATCCCCCTAAGAGTTTAGATAAAAATAATGAAATGACATTTTTGTCTCAAGTGGGAGAGATTTTGGTAAATTGATGAAAATTGCATCTTGATGGGAGTCATTTTTCTTTTTACCCTGCAAGTTGTGGATTAAGTCTGAATCCACTTGGGAATGGTGTCAACTATGACTTAATCCTACTCATAGTTACACAGTCCTCGCTGATCCACACAGAAACAAAGCTATTCCACCCAGACACAACAATCAGGTGTTGCAAACACCCAACGTCCTTTAATAGGCTACCCTTCATTGTGACAGTCTCCTGTGCTTGCCTCAGTGCTCAGCCATATTTCTCACCTTACCTTATTAATGAATAATCAGGCACTGCTTCTTTGCGATCACACACCAATGATAGAGTTACGGGCACCAGATGCTGCTTTTCAAGCCTCTTTGAGGCAAAATTGAGTCTGCATGCTTATACAGACCTCTGCACATTAACGTGACTGTGCAAGCATGCGCATGCAGAAGCATGCATGTGTGACATGGAGGGATCGAGAGAGGAGAGAATAGAAACAGAAGTGGAGCAGGAACAAGGGCATCCCTTTAAGAGCAGCCTGCAGAGACTTTGTCCTACATTCCTCTTTGTTTCATGGGAGCACAGAGGAAGGGGAGAAAAAAAAAGGGATGAAGAACGAGGGATGGGCCAAGGTATTAAAACAGATTCAGATGTGGGCGGGAGAGGACGCAGTATCCTCCCATTGAAAACATCCCCAAAATAGCATCAGTTTGGCAAGTGAAGTCTGCCGCAGAGGAAGAGAAAAGGCATTGCCTTATCATCCATTATTACGTGCACTGTGGTAAACAAGCAGTTTGAGAAAATAAACAGATGGACAATCTTTTTCATTAAAGTTACATTACCATTCATTCGGGTGGGGGGGGAATCAAAAGAAGCAATCTGCTTAACAACAACAACATGGTTTCCAAGTCAGTGACAAGTAATATATTTGTTCAACTGGGAGGGCATCCAATTACCAATTCCCAGCTTTTGAACTCTGTCTACCTGCTTCCACAGAAGACTTTGCTGTTTTTTTATCTGTGGAGAATACTGGCCAGCATAACTCCTGCCAGGAAAAGTCCCACCTGCAGAAAGGTAGAAGCAACACGGCTCCTAGGAGACTGACCT